GGGCCACAGGGAATCAATCTGGGCACACTTCCAGTCAATTTGAGGCCATTAAATGCAAATTTTGGGGTGTGGCTACCAAATTTCACAATGTGGCTACCAAATCTGAAAGCGCATTTTGTAACTTTGGCCCACAGGGAATAAATCTGGGCTCATTTCCAGTCAATTTGGGGCTCCTAAAAGTGAATTTTTGGGTGTGGCTACCAAATTTCACAATGTGGCTACCAAACCTGAAAACGCATTTTGTAACTTTGGACCAGAGGGAATAAATCTGGGCTCATTTCACATGAATTTTGGGCTACTAAATGCAAATTTGGGGCCATTAAATGCAAATTTTGGTCTATTTAAAGTGAATTTTGAGGTGTGGCTACCAAACTTGGCCATGTGGCTACCAGATTTAAAAGTGCATTTTGTAACTTTGGGCCACAGGGAATAAATCTGGGCTCATTTCGAGTCAATTTAAGCCTCATAAAAGTGAATTTTGGGGTGTGGCTACCAAACTCGACCATGTGGCTACCAAATCTGAAAACGCATTTTGTAACTTTGATTCATAGGGAATCAATCTGGGCTCATTTCAAGTGAATTTTGGGTCATTTTGAGTTAATTTGGGCTCATTTCCAGTCAATTTGGGGCCACTAAATGGCATTTTTTGGTGTGTGGCTACCAACTTTCGGGGTGTGGCCAGTCCCTTTCTCCCCTCCCAGTCCCTCCCAGTCCCTCCCAGTGCCCCCAGTGCCCCGTACCGGGCCCGCGCTTGTCCCATCCGCACACCATGGTGCCCAGGCTCAGCCCCATGCCCTTGTACTGGTACACCAGGTTGGCTAGCAACTTCGAAGCCGCGGCCACCGAGACGGGCTCCTTGTTGCGCAGCTCCTGCACGCGGCACTGCCGCGCCACCAGCCGCTGCCAGAAGCTGCAGTCGGCGGCGCCGCCCGCCATGGTGCCCAGGATCCGCGCGTTGATGGGCAGCACCTTCAGCACCGACTGCGAGGCGATGTAGGAGCCGGCAGTGGCGCGCGAGTCGACGGCCACCGTCACGCCGTGGGGGGACTGGGGGGAAACGACGAAATTTGGGGGGAATTTGGGCGAAAACGGGGAAAAAATTCCATTTTATTTTGTTTCCGTAAATGTGGGGTTTTTTCACTATTTTTCCGCCATTTTGTTTCCGTAAAATTGCATTTTTTTGTCAATTTTTCCGCCATTTTGTTTCCGTAAAATCGCATTTTTTTGTCAATTTTTTCCACCATTTTGTTTCCGTATAATCGCTTTTTTTCTACAATTTTCCGCCATTTTGTAGCACTAAAAGTTGCAATTTTTACCAAGTTTTCTCTCCTAAAATCTGATATTTTTCTCAATTTTTTCCCTATTTTTCCCCCTAAAAATTACCATTTTTTTCTCAATTTTTTACCTAAAATCCCTATTTTCTTCTTAATTTTTTCACCATTTTTCCTCAATTTTTTCCCTAAAATC